GATGAATACACAAGAGCAAAAAAGGAGCTACCATAATAGAGGGAGCCATTATAGGAAAATGTCCAGAGACCTACAAGGATGACCCCAACTAACAATCTGAGCAATAGTGGACAGGCTACCTTAAATACTTCTCCCTGATAATGAGATTGATGATTAACTTATATGCCATCCTAGAGCCCTCATCTAGTAGCTGATGGAAGCAGAAGCAGACACCCACAGCTAAACACTGAGCCAAACTCCTGGAATCCAGTTGCAGACAGGGAGGAGTGATGAGCGAAGGGGTCAAGACCAAGATTCAGAAACCCACAGAGACAGCTGACCTGAACAAGGGGGGTGGGGCTACTCAACCCCCAGACTGATACCTGGGAAACCAGCATTGGACCTACTCAGACCCTCTGAATGTGGGTCTCAGGAGACCTGGGCAGTCTAAGGGACCTCTGACAGTGCACAAAAGGACTTTGGGAGCACATTCCCCATGGAGAGATACTCCCTTAGCCTGTTGTCCATGATGGGGAAGTTTTTGTCATGCTGTCCAATAATAAAATCTTGCTTTCCATGACCTCTTACATCTGCTTGAGTTATATTGGAGCCTCAGACCCACAACACTTAGCTTCCAAAAAATCAGACAAGATAGAGTGCATTCAGGGTAGAATGGCCTCAATTATGACCTGTGAGTTCTGTAAAGTTATTTCCAGGCACATTGTCCAGGTCACTCGTGGCTCCTCTGGTCTAGACCATCTTGGGACTTTTGAGACATGTATCTCTGCAGGCTGACGAGATGGGTAAAGATGCTTGCCAGGGGCCAGGCCTTTAATCCCAGCACTAGGGAGGCAGTGGCAGGCAGATCTCTCTGTGAGTTCAAGGCCAGTCTGGTCTACAGAGCTAGTTCCGGGACAGGCTCTAAAGCAATACAGAGAAACCCTGTCTCAGGAAAAAAAAAAAAAAAAAAAAAAAAGATGCTTGCCAGGCCACCCCTAGTGTTGGAGGAAAGAACCAATTCTCTAACCTCAAGCTGTGTTCTGACTCACTGTGTGCACAGCCACATGTACCCGCACACAAAAAAATAAATAAACAAACAAACAAAATGTGATTTACATTTTTTCTGGGGATGGTGTAGATTCTGAAGGCATTAGGCATGCATGGTGCACATACTTACATGTAGGCAAGACACTCAAACACACTAAATAAATAAATACATCTAAAGAATTAAGGGGAAAAAAGCAGAATGAAAGAGGAAGATGCCCCATGTCTTCCCCTGACCTCTGTATGTGCAAGCTCAGGGACATGCACGCATGAGCAAATATATACATACAAATAGAGAGATGGACAGATGATAGATAGATAGGTAGGTAGATAGATAGATAGATAATAGACAGATAGATGGATGGATGTAGATAGATGGATGGATGAATGTAGAGAGATAGATGGATGGATGTAGAGAGATAGATGGATGGATATAGAGAGATAGATGGATGAATGTAGAGAGATAGATGGATGGATGGATGTAGAGAGATAGATGGATGAATGTAGAGAGATGGATGGATGGATGAATGTAGAGAGATGGATGGATGGATGGATGTAGAGAGATAGATGGATGGATGTAGAGAGATAGATGGATGGATGTAGAGAGATAGATGGATGGATGTAGAGAGATAGATGGATGGATGTAGATGGATGGATGTAGAGAGATAGATGGATGGATGAATGTAGAGAGATAGATGGATGGATGGATGTAGAGAGATAGATGTATGAATGTAGAGAGATGGATGGATGTATGAATGTAGAGAGATAGATGGATGGATGAATGTAGAGAGATAGATGGATGGATGAATGTAGAGAGATAGATGGATGGATGAATGTAGAGAGATAGATGGATGGATGTAGAGAGATAGATGGATGGATGTAGAGAGATAGATGGATGAATGTAGAGAGATGGATGGATGGATGAATGTAGAGAGATAGATGGATGGATGGATGTAGAGAGATAGATGGATGGATGAATGTAGAGAGATAGATGGATGGATGTAGAGAGATAGATGGATGGATGTAGAGAGATAGATGGATGAATGTAGAGAGATAGATGGATGGATGAATGTAGAGAGATAGATGGATGGATGGATGTAGATAGATAGATGGATGGATGAATGTAGAGAGATAGATGGATGGATGTAGATAGATGGATGGATGTAGAGAGATAGATGGATGGATGAATGTAGAGAGATAGATGGATGGATGTAGAGAGATAGATGGATGGATGGATGTAGATAGATGGATGGATGGATGAATGTAGAGAGATAGATGGATGGATGAATGTAGAGAGATAGATGGATGGATGTAGAGAGATAGATGGATGAATGTAGAGAGATGGATGGATGGATGGATGTAGAGAGATGGATGGATGAATGTAGAGAGATGGATGGATGGATGTAGAGAGATAGATGGATGGATGTAGAGAGATAGATGGATGGATGTAGAGAGATGGATGGATGAATGTAGAGAGATAGATGGATGGATGAATGTAGAGAGATAGATGGATGGATGAATGTAGAGAGATAGATGGATGGATGTAGAGAGATGGATGGATGAATGTAGAGAGATAGATGGATGAATGTAGAGAGATAGATGGATGGATGTAGAGAGATGGATGGATGGATGTAGAGAGATAGATGTATCATTATGGTGCACACAAGTACATCATATGGGGCTAATGCAAGGAACAGATGTCATAGTTTAAAAAAAAAATAGTTGTCCCCAGAGAGTCCCCTCCCACACATGTCCTGAAGCCTAATCCTCCATAAGTCCCCTGTCTTTCTGCTGAGGCTGGGCTGTTGTCCTAAGAGGATTGGAGCATTTACTAAATTAGTCCTGACCGGGAACACAGGAAACAGAGTGCATGAGGTGGAGTGGGGAAAGCAATAAGGAAAACAGACAGCTATGGAGGCAAGGGCAGAAATGGAAACAAGAAAGCGGATACAGCCAAAAAAAAAAAAAAAAAAAAATGCAGGAGACCAAGCACATAGTTGCAGTCCCAATGGGTGGCAGGTTTCTGAGTCTGAGGCCAGCCAGGCCTACGTAGCAAGACCCTCCCTTTAAAAAACACGGATAGATGGAGAGATGGCTCAGTGATTAAGAGAACTGGCTGCTCTTCCAGTAGACAAGGGGTTTGATTCCACATGGTTGCTTAGAATGCTCTGTAACTCCAGTTCCAGGGGGTTGGATATGTTCTTTCTGGTCTCCAAGAGCTCAGCCTGCACAGATATGCATGCAAGCAAAATACCCATACACATCAGTAGTTTCTTTAAACAAGGGTTGCCATATCCCAAGAAGAGACCAACAAAGCCTGGTTTTTCCCTCTCCCAGATGTGGGAGTTTCTTCACCTACTATAATAATAGTGTCTATCTGATGTGTTGCTGTGATGATCTCAACACTTAGGACTGGCTTGTTTTGTTTTTGCTGTACTAGGAATTGAACCTAGTACCACCTAGAACCATGTATCACTAAGCCATGTCTTCAACCCCTCACTGGGGGATCATAGGCAGGAGCTCTACCACTGAGCCACACCCCAGCCCCTCACTGGGGGATTCTAGGCAAGGGCTCTACCACTGAACCACACCCCCAGCCCCTCACTGGGGGATTCTAGGCAAGGGCTCTACCACTCAGCCACACCCCCACCCTCTTTTAAAACTTATCTGTAATGAGGTCTCATTAAGTTACCTAGGCAGGTCTTAAACGTGAGATCCTCCTCCTCCTCAGCTCCCAAGTGCCAGGATCACTAGCCTGGTCTACCCAGGCCTTACTGTGGTGTAACAGTAAATATGCAGGAACACACTCTGGACAGAAAAAAATCTTAATTTCTTCCCACCTAAACAAGTTTCCCACTTCAAAAAAAAAAATCACACAGGAACAAAAAGAAAAAAATCACCCAGATCTGAGTGGAATCCAACATTTTTAATCAGTTTCACTCCGGGTAGCCTGGGAAGCCAGAATGTGGGGAAGAGAACAGAGAGGCTAACATCAAATAAGGGGGCCCCTGGCCTCACTCATTGTCCTATGGCCGTTGCCTTGTGGCTTGTAAAGTAGGGTTTGCAGGGGGAAAGGAGGGTATTATGTAGCCCGGGCTGGCCTCAAACTTGTAACCTAGGATGACCATAAACTCGTAATCCCCCTGCCTCTACATGTCTGTGTTGAGAACACGAGCGTGTGACACCACTCCTGGCTTATGAAATAGGACATTGGACATACTCTGTGGATGTCTAAAAGACCTCTACCCAGGTAGGTCCATGAATCGGACTTCCAGCCTCTTGATAAGGTTCAACTTCTACAGACATCTGGAAGACCCCAACACTGGTGCCTCCTCAATATGACCCTGGATTCTAGAACATTCTCTTCATCTTTCAAGTCATCCCCAACATTTGCATCAAGCTTCTTTTCCATTTTGTTTTTGTACAAGACACAACCTCATAGCTCCAGTCGGTGGCACATGCCTGTAATATGCATGGATACTGATAAGTCATATATATACATAAGTCAAGTGGACAGTCAGTTTCTTAAATCTACCATGTAAACCAGACATGTGTTAACTTCAACTGTATAAAATATCCAAGTGAATTTAGAGGTTTCACTCTGTAGCCCAGGCTGTCCTCAAATTCCCAGGAATCCCCCTACCTCGGTTTCTTCCATTCTAGCACTAAAAACATTGAGTGAGTTCTGACTCACATTCTCCAGATAAACTTCAACAGATTTCCTTCCTCTCTGGAGCACATTCTCAGCACCTTCACTGAAGTCTGGGGGGAAAGCAGCAGATACAGGCATCACAAACATAATAGCTACTGACTGCTTGCTGCTGGGCTATCTCAGGAGAAGAAGGCGCCTCTCTCACTGATTGGGGTAGGGCTGAATGGGAGCTAGGCTCTCTGATGGAGCTGAGGGTGAATTGTCCACAGCCTTTGGCAGGATTGCTACCTCCTGTCCCTTACTGGGAGATGCCTTACTGGGAGATGCTCTCTGGAATCTAAGCTGGAGGAGGCAGAGAGGGTGCTTTAGCTGGAAGGGGGAATGGGTAGCCTCTTCTACAAGATCTGAAACTTCCAGGCACTCTGATCTTTGTAGTCCAGAGGGTCCATGGGGTTATAGGTGAATTTCCAGGTGCCTGTGGGGTCCTTGAATTCCAGGCTGTCCACAGGGCTGTAGGCGCTGTAGCTCTGGCCTGACAAGGAGGTGGGTGATTGGGCCAGGGATGGCCCCACAGAGGGGCCTGAAAGGGGGCTGAGAGCTGGACCTCCCAGCTGGGGCACCATGGGAGAAAGGTAAGGATCCAGCCCACTGAAATAGGAACTTGGAGATGCATAGGCTGAGGGGGAAGAACAAAAAGCAGAGGCAGGAGCATAGGTCATGGCATAGGGGGCTGAGGTGAGAGAGGGTGCTGAGGCCACTAGCCCAGCTCGCTGGGCCTCAGACAAAGGAGACTCTGAAGCTGGACTCCAAATGGACACAGTGGCCACTGCCGCGGTAGGTGAGCCTGAGGGGCCAGGCAGTGATGGGCTGTAGGAATCTGAGATGCCCAAAGGGTCTGTACAAACATCTGTGGAGGGCCTTGGGGATGTGCCTGCCTTCCTCTTCGCAGGACGAGCCTTGGCCTGCCCCCCTGGGGGCTGCTGCTGCTGCTGTTTCTGCTGCTGTCGCTGCTGTCTGCATTTTGCCCTGCGATTCTTGAACCAGACCTGGAGGGAGAGAGAGGGGGGAGACGGGATGAATAAAGCATGAAAAGACCTCAGAGTCCTCAGGTGCCAAGGGAAGACAAGGCTGATGGAAACACCATACTTTGCCACTCTGCATCCGACATCTGCCCATCTGCACTGGGTGGTTTTGTGTGTCAACTCTACACAAGCTAGAGTCAGAGAAAGAGCCTGGTTGAGGAAATGACTCCATGAGATGCAGCTGTAAGGCATTTTCTCATTTAGTGATCAATGCGGGAGGGCCCAGCCCATGGTGGGTGGTGCCATACCTAGAATGCTGGTCCTGGGTTCTATAAGAAAGCAGGTTGAGCAAGCCAGTAAGCATCTCCCTTCCATGGCCTCTGCATCAGCTCCTGCTCCCAGGATCCTGTCCTGTTTTAGTTCCTGTCCCGACTTTCTCCAGCAATTGACAGCAATGCTGAAGTGTAAGCCAATTAAACCCTTTCCTTCCCCAACTTGCATTTTATCCATGGGGCTTTGTCACAGCAATAGGAACTGTAACTAAGACACCATCCAATTATGCATGCACATGCACACAGCAACCTACATGCATTGATCATACACATTTCATACACACAGGCAATCATACATACACGCATATTATCAGTCTACATGCATCATCTACCAGCCTGATTGATCACACATCTTTGCATACAACCATGCATTATCCTCACATATATGGGTGCAGTCATACACATATACACATACATACCTACACACACTCAGCCACCTACCCCATCACATGACCATCTATGCAGTCATGTGTTATCCTCACCTATATATATACTCAAGCACACGTACACAATATATTAACATGCTCCTGCTCATGAATATGTACATGCAATCATACATGCATTATACTCACATACCATACATGTAATATGTCATACTTGCATACACTCATTAGCCCATCCCATACATATCTATTTTATAGATAGACACAATAATACCAGGGCTAGGGATGTAGCTCAACGGTAGAGCATTTGCCTGGCATACATACACAAAGCTCTGGATCCAATCTCCCACACTACATAACACACACACACACACACACACACACACACTTCTCTCACCCACCTACTCAGTCATCTACCCTACTCCTTAAAGGAGAAATCAGAGGGGTTAATATTCTACTGTAAGGAATATTAGTGTCACAGTAAATTGATGGGAGATGTCATTCTGTCAATATGTTTCTTTCATTGGTTAATGAATAAAGCACTGTTGGCCAATAGGAAAGCAAGATAGGTGGGACTAGGAGACATGGAGAATTCAGGGGGAGGTAGAAAAAGAGTTTCAACATATAGGACCAACAGGGTAGAACTCCTGATCCTCTCTCCGGTAAGATAAGACCACGTGGAGACACTTAGATTGATAGAAATGGGTTAATATTTAAGACAGAGCTAGCCAATAAGTAATGCTAACAGCTTTATATCTAACACAGTGTCTCAGTGTGTTATTTGGGGCTGGCGCGGCTTGGGACAAGGCGGGTCGGAAACTGCTCGTAACAGTAAATGGGTAAGCCATACAGTGGCATTGGAGACTCACTATGTAGCCCACCCAGACCAGCCTCAAATCCAAGGCAGTCCTCCTGCCTCTGCCTCCTACATGCTGAGATTACATGAGTGAGCCACCACACTTTGTGTAGTATTCTAGAACTGTACGTCAAAGATGCTGTTCAGTAGCATCTGGAGCCTTGGGTTGGAATTTAAAGCACTACAATCCCTGCAGGTCTCCTTGGCTTACAAGGTGACCTGGTTGATCAACTGATTGATGAATAAACATGATGAAGGGACAAGATTGGTGAAGATAGGCTTAATGTGACAGGACTGTTGCAATCCTGCTCTTCAGGATGCTGACACACAAGAAAACCCAAAGCTAAAGGTCTTGGGGGGGGGGGGCTGTAGAGTGAGTTCAAGGTCAGCCTTGGTAACTTAGTGAGACTGTCTCACAAGACATTGCTGCAATGGATGGCCCCACACCCATGTGCATGTGGGCAGCACAAAGCTATCCAGTGGGTTCTAAAAAGATGAAGAGGAGGAGGAGGAAAATAAGACATGAATGAAGTTGAGCAGGAAATGGAGGTGGGGATCCTGAAGAAGTTGGAGGGGGAGGGAGGGGTGGATATGGTCAATATATTGTGCCCATGTATGAAATAATGCCTGGCGGTGGTGGCACACACCTTTGATCCCAGCACTTGGGGAACAGAGGCAGGCGGATCTCTGTGAGTTCGAGGCCAGCCTGGTGTACAGAATGAGTTCCAGGACAGCAAGGCTACACTGAGAAATACTGTCTTGAAAAACAAATTAACAATAATAATAACAATAATAATAATAATAATAATAATGGCTGGTGATGTATTTCAATGGCACAATGTGACACCCTAAAATTGAATCCTCATTTCTGAGAATAAAGGAAACAGAGTGAAGGGAAGAATATCACTTGGAGGACAGTGTGGTAAAAATGCAAACAATAGGGGGGGTTGGCTGGGCACTGGCGGTGTGTGCCTTTAATCCCAGCACTGGGGATGGGGGGGGGGGAGATAGGAGGATCACTGAGGCCAGCCTGGTCTACAGAGGGACTTAGTTCCAGGATGGCCATGGCTACACACAGAGGCCCTGCCTTGAAAAAAGAAGAGGGGTTGGGGAGGAGAAAGAAGGAAAGGAGAAGAGAGTCAGCGACATAAGAGTAAGAGTTTAGGCTACTTCATAATTGTGACTGTTACTCTGTGGCCTTACTCTGGATCTGATAATGACCCACAGAAGATCACAGTAAGGGACCGGGCAGTGGTGATGCACGCCTTTAACCCCAGCACTCGGGAGGCAGAGGCAGGCGGATCTCTGTGAGGACCTACAACAGAGTGAGGTCCAGGACAGGCTCCAAAGCTAGGGAAACCCTGTCTCGAAAATCTTTAAAAAAAAAAAAAATCATAGTAAGGAGGGTCCAGAACATCCTACCTGGACCCTGGACTCAGGCAGGTTGATCTTGAGAGCCACCTCCTCGCGTGCATACACATCCGGATACTGGGTCTTGGAGAACAGGGCCTCCAGCTCCTCCAGCTGGCTTCTGGTGAACGTGGTTCGCTCCCTCCGCTGCTTCCTAGGAGCGCCTGCATGTGGGCGAATGAAAGAACCCCCAGGTTGGCTAGGTCTGCTGGCTGGTCCAGTGGGACGCCTGCCCAGAAGTTCTTTCTGTACACCCATCTGCCCATCGGTGTTTATTCCCTGGCCTTCTCCTGCCGGCTCAGTACCCAGAGGACCTGGAGATGCATTCCAGTTACATGTCCACAGGAGGGAACTACTTTGAGCCCTGCAAAGATTTTTTTTTTTTTTCCCGACAGAGGGTTTGGGTTCTCTTTTCTCTCCTACCTCCTTCTCCCTCTTCCTCCCCCTCTCTTCCCTTTCCGTTAATTCATTACAGCAGGATTTCACTATGCAGCCCGGACTGACTCTAATATCCTGGGATTTAGTGATCCTCCTAACGTAGCCTCCCAAATAGCTGGGACAACAGGCAGGGGCCACTGCACCAGACTCCCCTACTGAGCCTCATCATGCGTAAAGATATATTCTTGGCCAGGCAGTGGTGACACTCGGGAGACCAGCCATGTACCCAAACTACATGTCTCAAAACGGAGGGAAGAAGGGAGGAAGGGAGGGAGGGAGGAAGAGAGAAAGAGAAAAAACTGTTAAATAATAGTAAGTACCATAGTAGAGCATGATGGTACAGGACTATAATCCCAGGCCTATAGAGACTGAACCAGGAGGCTAGGAGCATGGCTGGGTGGTAGAGCCCCTGCCTAGAATCCCCCAGTGAGGGGCTGGGGGCATGGCTCAGTGGTAGAGCCCCTGCCTAGGATCCCCCAGTGAGGGGCTAGGGGCGTGGTTCAGTGATAGAGCTCCTGCCTAGAATCCCCCAGTGAGGGGCTGGGGGTGTGGCTCAGTGGTAGAGCCCCTGCCTAGAATCCCCCAGTGAGGGGCTGGGGGTGTGGCTCAGTGGTAGAGCCCCTGCCTAGGATCCCCCAGTGAGGGGCTGGGGGCGTGGCTCAGTGGTATAGCCCCTGCCTAGAATCCCCCAGTGAGGGGCTGGGGCGTGGCTCAGTGGTAGAGCCCCTGCCTAGAATCCCCCAGTGAGGGGCTGGGGGTGTGGCTCAGTGGTAGAGCCCCTGCCTATGATCCCGCAGTGAGGGTGGCTCATGGCTCCATGGTAAAATACCTCTGCCTAGAATCCACAAGTCCGTGGATTCCAGCCCAACAACCTCTACTCCAAAAAGAGAAAAAAATTTAAAAGGGAAAAGAAAAAGAAAATTGTCATTACAATGCTCACTTCTTTCAGAAATAAAGGGTTATAGAATCATATTGATTCTGTTTCTAGACCACTGCCCTTCCAATGTCATGACTAAATGCGCTCCTGACTCCCTGGGAAACACATTAACGTCCCTCGGATGCCATACGCCTTTGCAGATGAACATAAAGACGGTGCATGGCCCTACTTCCACCCCACTAAGGGAACCTCAGATGTTCCTTAAAAAAAAAAAAAACAAGATGGGGATGGGAAGGAGGAACATACTTACTTGAGTATGGGACAGCCTGGTGCATCAGGTCCACAGCAGGGCCATTCAGAGCCAAGGCATTAACCGAATAGTGAGGCCCCGGGTTCATATACGCCATCATGATCTTCAGTGACTGGGTCCCGGATGAGGGCACCTACAAAAGAAAGGGCGTGTCCACTCTTCCCACTGCCTGGGCACTGACAAGTTAATATTTATATCCTGTTTTGGGGGCTCTTCTCAGGAACCAACCTCACCCATTAGCCAGTCTCTTCTCTCTCTGTCTCTCTCTGTCTTTAGAATCCAAGTGTTGGTTGTGGTACATTCATTTCATTCATCAAACTCTCACACTGGAGACAGAGGCAGAGACTTCTTTGAGTTCAACACCAGCTTGGTAAATTTCAGGGCCTTAGATTATAGCTTTAGCTGGCCGAGAACTCTGTTTGGCTTGGTTTGTTTTTTTCAGAGACAGGGCTTCTCTGTTGTCTTGGCTGTCGTGGAACTCACCTTGTGGTCAAGGCTGGCCTCAGATTCAGAGATCCACCTACCTCTGCCTCCTGAGTGCTGGGATTTAATATACACCCTGGATCTGGAATTCGATTTGTAAACAAGGCCACAATACCCAACTCAAAACAAAACAAAACAAAAATGTTTTGCCAGGCAGTGGTGGTGCACGCCTTTAATCCCAGCACTCGGGAGGCGGAGGCAGATGGATCTCTGTGAGTTCAAGGCCAGCCTGATCCACAGAGCTAGTTCCAGAATAACCAGAGCTGTTACACAGAGAAACCCTGTCTCAGGTTTAAAAAAAGAAAAGTTTCTTTTCAGTTTTGTGTAACAGGGTTTCCTGTAGTCCAGGCTGACATTAAACTAGCCAAGGTTGATTTGGTATTTCTGACCCTCCTGTCTCCACCTCACAAGTGCTGGAACTATAGACATTAGCCATCACTCCAAGTGTGGGTAAATGTGTGTGTGTGTATAGAAGTAGAGGGGAGGCCAAAATTCAACCCCAAATTTGTTCACCAGGCCACCTCATATTTTCATTTCATTGTTTTATTTTATTTTTGAACGAAGGTCTTATATAACTTGGACTAGCCTCAAATTTACTAGGATGCTGAGGATGAGACCTTGAACTTATTTCCACCTTCCAGGTGCCAAAATCACAGGTCAGAACCACCATACCTGGGTTATATGGTGCTGGGTACGGAGCCATGTCTTCACAAATGCTAGACACACACTCTACCTAAGGAGCTAGGTCTCCAGTTCCTGCCCTGGTTGTTTGGTTGGTTGGTTGGTTGGTTGGTTGATTGATTGATTGATTGATTGATAGCATGTTTGTTTATGTGTGTGTGTCTTTGTTTTGGTTTTGGTTTTTCAAGACAGGGTTTCTCTATGTAGCCCTAGCTGTCCTAGGACTCACTCTGTAGACCAGGTTGGCCTTGAACTCACAGAGATCTGCCTCTCCCCAGTGCTGAGACTAAGGTTGTGTATCACCACCGCCTGGCCCCACCTTGGATTTTGAGATCAGGTTTCTCACTGGTCTGGAAACTGCCAAATAGGCTAGTATGTTGGCCAACAAGGCTCAGGGACTCTCTGTCTATTTCGTACTGGGGTTATAAATAGGACAACTTTTTTTTTTCTTTTGACCTGGCTTCTGGAAGACTAAATCGGGTCCTCATACTTGCACAGCAAACAGGTTACTGAATAAGCAATCTCCTGGGTCCACCCTCAATTAGACAGGAAATCACTATGTAGCCCACACTGGCCTCAGACTCACAGCAATACTCCTGCCTCATTACACTTGGGTAACTGTCAAAGTCACACTTTGATACTAAGTGTATGTGTTACATATCTGCCTCCATGTCCAAATTACTAGATAATAATAGATGATATAAAATGTTTGTCATATGTGTGTATTATTTACTATAAAGTTCATGACCATATTTACTATATAATGTGTATATTCCAAGGTTAAAAGCCAGTATGTCAACATGAACATTATGGCGCTTTTTGTGGTTTGTTTGTTTGTTTTTGTTTTCTGAGACAGGGTTTCTCTGTAGTTTTGGAGCCTGCCCTGGATCTTGCTCTGAACTCACAGAGAGAGATCCATCTGCCTCCCAGAGTACTGGGACTAAAGGCATGTGCCGCTGCCACCACCTGACCTGTTTGTGATTTTTAAAGACACAATATATAGGAAATGTAGAGCCAGCTCTGCAGTTAAGACCACTGATGCTCTGGGAGAGGATTGAGTTCCTTTTCCAACCCTTACATGGTAACTCACCTATAACTTCCCTCTTCTGACCTTTGTGGGCATTGTATGCACAAGGCATACATGCACACACTAAAGCATGCACACAAACAAAATAAATAAAAAAAAAGAGGGCCTAGAACGGAGGGCTGGTGCTGCACGCCTCTGATCCCAGCACTTGGGAGGCAGAGGCAGGTGAATCTCTGTGAGTTTGAGGTCAGAGATCTACATCGTGGATTCTGGACAGTCTGGGCTATGTAAAGAGACCCCCCCATCTTGAAGGAGGAGAGAAAGGGGGAGGGAAAGGAAGGGGAGGAGAGGGGAGGGAAGGGGAAGGGAGGGGAGGAGAGGGGGAATGGGAATGGGAAGAGGGGATGGGAATATAGCTAAACAGTTAAGAGTACTGGTTGTTCTTCCAAAGGACCCAGGTTCAGTTCCAGGACCCACACTGGATGTTCTACTGGATGTTACAGAGGATCCTATGCCCCTGGCCTCCAAAGGCACCTGCCTTCATATGACACACACACACACACACACACACACACACACACACACACACAACTTTTAGTAGTGAAAACATATTCTAAAAGAAAGGATGTACAGATGCTAGAAGGTGTCTCAATGGTGAACAGCTCTTGCTGTTCTTCCATGGAACCCAAATTCAGGTACAAGCACTCGTATCAGGGAGCTCACAACTGCCTGTAACTCTAGCTCCAAGGGAGCCAATGCACATATACACAAACAATAATAATAATAATAATTTAATATATGCTGGTATGTGGGGTAGAAAGGTGGCTTTCAGTGGTTAAGAACACTTGTCATACCACACAACCATGAAGACCTGAGTTCAGATCCAGCACCAGCTTCCTGGGTGCAATGAGGCATGACTTAAATCCCAGCACTTGGGCTGGAGAGATGGCTCAGCAGTTAAGGGAACTGGCTCCTCTTCCTAAGTTCAATTCTCAGCCCACACATGGTAGCTCACAACTGTCTGTAATGGGATTTGATGCCCTCTTCTTTTGTTTCTTGTTTGTTTGTTTGTTTTTGAGACAGGGTTTCTCTGTGTAGCCCTGTCTGTCCTGAAACTGTAGACCAGGCTGGCCTCCAACTCACAGAGACCTACCTGCCTCTGCCTTCCAAGTGCTGGCAATAAAAGGCATGTGCAATCACTGCCCAGCTCTGAGTTCCTCTTCTAGTGTGCATGAAAACAGATCATTAATATACTTAAAATAAATAAACATTTTTTTAAAAAGTCCCAGCACTCAGAAGGCAGAAGTAGGTGAACCTCTCTGAGTTCAAGGACAATGCCATGTACATAGTGAGTTCCAGGACAGCCAGAGCTATACAGAGGGACACAAAAAAGGGGGAGTGGGGGTACAGGGACGGGCTTACCCATGAACTCCTCTAACCCTAAGGCTGTGGGAGGCAGACACGACAGGGATCACCAGGTCTTGCTGGCTGCCAGCCCAGATCCAAGCTCAGTAAGAGACGCAGTCTCAAAATAATAATGTGGAGAGTGATGAGAAAGACAACTGTGTCCCCACAGGTGTCCCCTGCTACACACACACACACACACACACACACACACACAGCCAGTGAGAGTACTTGGTGGGTAAAAGCACTGCTGCCCAAGCCAGACAACCTGAGCTGGTTTCCCAGTACCCATATGGTAGAGCTTTGGTTCTCAACCTTCCTAACGCTGCTACCCGCTAAAACATTGTGGTGACCCCCAACCATGACATTATTTTCCTTGCTACTCCATAACTCCACTGTTAGGAATCATAATATAAATATATGATACGCAGAACGGTGGACATGCATGCAACTCCTGAGAGCTGCTATGGTAGGAGAGAACTAGCCTCCTGCATGTTGACCTCTGTCCTCTAGCCAGAATGCCCCTGCTAAAACACTGCTGGATCCTCCTCCCTCTCAGTCTAGGTGCGGAGGCCTGGAGCTGAGGCAGGAGGACTGACTCAAATTAGTGGCCATCCTGGGATTCGTAGCAGACCCTGTCTCAGAAATGACAACAGGAAGCCGGGGGTGTGGGTCAGCTGACACAGTGCTTTCCTGGTACACACAAAGCCGTGGGTTCCATCCCCAGCACCACGTAATCTGGGCATGGTGACACACACCCGTAATTCTAGAACTCAGAAGATGGGAGCTGGAGGGTCAAGGGCATTGTAGGCTGCTAATCATGTTGGAGGCCACCCTGGGATACATAGGACCCTGTCTCTAAAGTGAAGGGGGACTGAAGAAATGGTAAGCAGATAAGATGGCTTCCTGCAAAAGCATGAGGGCCTGAATTCACAGCCTCCAAAACCACAGAGAAAAAAAAAAAAAAATCAGAGAGAGAATTACAGTTTACTGACTCCAGCTGACACTGAACAGAAATTAACAGCAACACATGAACACATAATCTTGAGGAGCTTGTCAACGCTTAGCTTTGACTGAGCTATAGCCCCAGCTCGCATTTTAACTAATAAACAATCTAGTAGGACAGGCATCCATCTAGTCAAAAGTAAAATCACAACCCAGTGGCAGGCAGTGGGAAGAAACCAGGGTCCCCAGAGATCGGGTGATAGCTGCACAGACGAAAAGGAATTCCCAGGGGCCACAAGATGGCTCAACCAGGAAGGTGCTTGCCACCAAGCCTAAAAGCCTGACTTTGAGCTAGGCAATGACAGCTCACGTCTTTAATCCCAGCGCTGAGTGGGCAGAGGCAGGCAGATCTCATTGAGTTAGGGCCACCCTGGTCTATAAAGTGAGTTCCAGGACACCCAAGGCTATTATACAAAGAAATCCTGTCTCAAAAACACAAACAAACAAACAAACAAACAAAAAGCAGAGTTTGATCCCCTAGGACCTACATGGGGGTGGTGGGCGGGAAAGAAAACTGATTCCTGCAA